TTCAAAACCAGTCGATTTGATTGTCTTATTTGACTTTTTGTTTATTTCAATTTGTCATATTTACTTAAATTTTTAATGATTTAATTTTAGATAATGTTTTGTAAATAACCCATATTATTATTATCTCGAAAATTGATTTTCTCATAATCTTTAAACATTGTGTAGATTTCAAATATTTTAAGGTCTTAAATGTTTAATTTATTAAATCAAATTGACATAATTTGGAAATTGCAGTTTAATTTTATTTATCAATATTCATTAAGTCAAAATTATCAATAATTATACAATATTTATTTTATAGGAATCCAAAACCACACTATTTACTACACAAATATCTTGTTTATAAGTTATAATTATAAGATATACAATATTAATAAAATATTTTGATTATAAAATATATTAATATACGATATAAAATATATGAAAATGCAAATTATCTATTGATTGATGCCACAAAATGTATGTTTAGTCTCTATTGGTGGTGGCGATGGCATCGTTAGAGTCGGTACTGTTTTCCTCTGAAGACACACTTAATAAATAGAGAAATATTTCCATTAATTTTTCCTTCAAATAATGAAACACTTTTCTAATGAGTGAAACTTCAGCTTTTGTGTCGAGTTTTGCACTAAAAGATATTAATAGAGAATTCATTTCCATTACACTCTTATTGTGGATAATTATTATAGAAATGTTAGTCTAGTTGAAAATCAAAGCGATTAGAAACAGGAAAATAATCTAGATCAATTTCTATGACTTACCTGACACTATCGGTGGCCGATGTATTCAAGTCCTCGTCTGAACTTTTTTGAGTCTCAATTGGCTTTTCTGTAGTTTTCTGGTAACCTCTCGTCTGTACTTTAATTTCGTGAATATTCTGATCGGAAACATCCGGTTCGTCGTACGGTGTCTTAGCATCTGATTTCTGAGTATTGGTTACGGTTTGTTGACTTTCCACTGGATTATCGGTCTGATGTCTGGCCACTCGTGGATGCTTTTCGCCATCATTTGTTTTAACCGTTGTCTCCGCTATTGTCTTGTCTGTGGTTACGATTCCTTTGGATTCTGTGGTCACCACAGAGTCGGTGGACATTGTATTGTCTGTCGATTTGTTGGTATCATTTGTATCAATCGGTGAGCAGTTGTGGACTGAAAGCCCCGACACTAATGTAAAAACAATTATACATTGAATATGATGTTTCATTTTAGTGTCTCATCAATGTATCCCTTTCCCAATAGAGTTTACTTTTAAATTCTATAATTCTACTTATATATGAGTTACAAAATGTACCTGTACTCTGTTTTATGATTTTTTTAATTAAGAATAATATATTAATTTTCTTTCAAATTAATTACAGAATTAATTGTTTTTTCTTTGCAACCGAGAATCGAAACTCGATTTTATAGCAAAGTTATAAAAGTATTAAAATATAATTAGTATGTGATTTGATATTTTTTGACAACTTATTGTAAATATTCAGTACAATCGTCGTGGGAATTATTTCCTAACATATCAATTTTATATTTTCGTATTAGTCACTTTTTGTGTTGACAACATTTAGTGTTAAAAGGATTAATTTGGAAAAAGATAATTGATTTTAAAGATTACTTGACTTCATATACTGTACAGTACTGTACAAAAACTAATTATTAGATTCACGCGATCTTAGGCACTGAAAACAATATGTTTTTGAATGATTGACTGCAAAGAATTGTTAACTGAATTAAATGTCAAAAAAGTCTAAAGATTCGTACAATTAATGAAAATAATGGCAAATGTATTAAACATGTATTGTCGCAGATATTATTAATACTACTTTTCTGGTGCATATTGTGGGCTATCTTTGGCGAAGACGCCACTCCAATGAGTGGCTATTTGTTTCAATTGATGTTTGTCTTCATCTGCACCTATATCGCTGGCGAAATGATGTCATTAATAGGCTTACCGCCGGTGTTAGGAATGATAGTCACGGCTTGTGTTATGGGAAACGTATGGCAATTGAATATCTATAACAAGTTGTCATCAATACTAACACAGGTAGCGGTGGTTATAATCCTATTGATGGCCGGACTCGAGTGAAGCATTTGATTGGACTCTGTCTCAGACTATCATTCTTCCCATGTTTTGCCGAAACCACAGCAATAGCCGTCTCTTCCAATATTTTACTCCACTTTCCCCTTCAGTGGGCTTTCCTATTGGACTTCGTATTGTCGGCCACTTCGCCGGCCATTGTCATCACAGGTATACTTCCGCTCAAACGTCAGGGTTATGGCATAGACAAGGAAATCCCCACTCTTCTGATGGCCGCCTCGTGTATTGATAACGTGTTCGCCATCACTGGTATCGTCTTCTGTTGTCCGTCTTATATACCCAAACGATATGCCGTTGATTCATGTCATTGGTGTCATGTGTGGCCTCATGTTTGGCTTCATTTTATGGTACATACCGTCCGATACCCTGAGTGTGATTTCAAAGATCGAGAGGTTTCTATTGATAGTTATGTCGTGTCTGGCCGTCAAGTTTAGCTCAAACGCGTTGGACGTGGAGACCGCCGGACCCCTGTCCTGCCTTATGAATGGCGTCACAAGGGTTTGAACCGACAGATGAAAGTACTGTTGAAGTTATTTTGGACGGCATTTCTGCCCCTTTTGTTTCGAGTGATTGGATGTGACATTAAGTTATCATTTAATTTATATACACTTAAAGCAATAACTTGTCTTATAATTGGTTTGATTGTCAAGTTTTGTACCATATTTGCTGTTATTTTCGGTCATAATCTCAATAATTAAGAGAAGGTCTTCGTAGCCCTGCCCTGGCTCTCAAAGGGTTCAGTTCAGGCATCCTTTTCACCCCTCGCTCTCAGTTATGCCAAAAAGTTTTATATGACCTCATCTTATGGACACAATGTAACACAAGACAGTATTGCCGCCGAGACTGGGGCCAATATCGGACAGTTATCTATTATACTAACGGCACCTCTAATTACAATGTTAATGAGCATTTTGGGACCTAAACTGCTCACAAAGACAGATATTTCACAGATACCGATGCGGACCAGACAAATGATGTCACTTGAAACCCATAAAGAAATCAGTAAATGACAACAGACTTGATCTCAAATATAATATTCTACTTATTGTTAAGTTAATATTGTAAACTTACTTGTTAACAATCTATATGTTTTTAATTTACAAATTATAAATGGACTCATATTTCTACATGAAGTGTTGTATTTATTAACAGATTATTTATTTATAATATTATATAAAATAAATCTAATACATATTCCAACTTTGATTTATTCATTGAAATACTAACCAATTATTATGAAACTTATATTGAATTATAAGACACTTAATATCCTAAAGAATTTGCATTTAATACTTTCTCAGAAAATATTACTAATAGTTATTTAATGTATTTTTAATGTACAGATAGTATCTGTATTCTATTTGAAAGTTTTTGTTTAATTAATAAAAACTTCATATTTATTGATAATGTTTTTGTCCACTATATTACTAGTTTTGTTTATCCACTATTCAGATGCATTGCATGGAAAAAATGTGTGTAGAAAACAAGTCAAGTAAGTATTTTAGTAATTTATGAAATATACTGATCATTTGTATCTTATAGTGTAATTAAATGTGTTATTATAAATTTACTTATTATAAAAAATACCGCAGAAATCCATACGAGACCCAGGTGCCATTCAAAATTCCCGTTAAAAGCAGTAGTTTTCAATTATGTTTAAAGCAAATCATTTGTACCGAAACCAAGTCTGTATTAAACATATAATTACATATAAGATTTTCACTAATAATTACTGAAATCTAAATAATTTATTTGTATTTTTAAAAAGTATTGATTACGAGACACATTACAAGACAGAAACAAAGCTCAACACAAGTTATGTCTACGAGTGTTGCCCAGGCTTTGGGCTAATTGATAACCATTGTGTCCGTAAGTGTTAGTTAACTAACAATTTACAAGATTTTATATATTTATAACTATTTTAAAATAGCGGTTTGTGTAGATCAATGTATCCATGGTCTGTGTATAGCACCCGAAAAATGTGGCTGCCATCCCGGGTATGTCACCATTTTCTAATAAAATATAATTCTTATAAATTTTAATATAATATAAAACGATAAAATCCTTAAATTTCTTAAAATTAATTAATTTCATTGAAAGTTGGACGGGAGATAAATGCGCGGAAAGTAAGTCTATATATGACTAACTTATTTTAAATTAAGCTAAGGGTAAGACTAACTGTAATATATTGAACCGACTTATAGTGTGTCCGTCGGAAAAATGGGGCCCAAATTGTATGAACACATGTCAGTGTTTGCACGACTCTAAATGCGATATGATTACCGGGATATGTCGGTGCTCACCAGGTTGGGAGGGTGACCAGTGTCAAACCCCCTGTCGGCCCGGCTTTTTCGGAATGCAATGTTATAACAGATGCCGGTGCAGACATGGACTCTGCGATAGTTTTACGTAAATGTTTAACAAAATATTAACAATCAATTTAACTAATTAGTTAATTGTACTAACTCATAGGGGTGAGTGTGACTGTCATCCAGGATATTTCGGACGCTGGTATGTACACCACAAACAAATTGTAAAAATAATTTAACTGTTAAAAATTATATATATATATTTGTAGGTGTAATGAGACAAATAGTGAATCTAATGAAACGGCTGATAAAAGTAAGACTATTGTATTCATAAACTTTTATTATCTGTACTTTAAATCAGTTGTATTGTAATTATTAGTTGAGATGAACGGGTTTAATGGTACAAAGTTTGTGGTCTGGATGAGTGTGTTTGTTATATTAGCAATGATAGCGAGTATTGTGTGTGTTATTTACATAAAACGCCGAAAATCTCGATCTCTCCGACAAACTCTTGTCACTTACGGGTCGACCCAAGCCTGTGAACCGCAACAACAAGTCGAGAATCCCGGCTATTGGTTGACATCAACCCCCAGGAAATACATCAGAAATCTAAATAATAACCTGGATGTGAATAAAGCCAACATTAAGATTGAAAACAATAATCTTAAGGATGTCAATAATGGTCGAGTGGTTGGACCGAAAGGTTCTCCTAAAGGTGCAAAAGTGATGGAAAGATTGTCGGTCATGACTGATGAGAGCCTATACGCCCGACACCAATACCACACCATCGATGAACTCAGAGATATAGTCACCGGAAAAGAAGATTCTTATGACGATATCTCCAATCATAACAAGTGTTTGTATTTTTAGTATTTACTATATTATTCATTGAATTTTATTTTCATTTGTTTCATGAAATGTAAGACATATGAGATCAATGAAGTTATTTGCAATCCAATATTAGGTGAGCCGTGTGTTTATGACAAACTGGATGCCAACCGACCCAACAATCCATTGAACCCTAATTATAAGGGACTGAACACCAATTTATTGAATGTGAATGCAATCAATGAATTGACTGATCGTCAAGAATCAAGTGTTCAGAAATACATCAAACGTTTCGAGAAATTAATCTAAAGAATTGTCTTTACTTTGATGGTGTATTTCATATTATTTATTTTCATATAACTTTATAACCTTATTACTTATACTAAAGTAAGTTTACTACAAAAATTCTAAAACAAAAAATCATTAATTTAGTGTTAATTCTCAAATGTAACAATTTTTATTTATTATAAATTTATGAAAGAATTTAAGTATAGTAAATTAAAATGAAGAATATAAGCAATTTTGTATAACATTAAGTATTTGAAATAAATCAATTTCTACTATAATAAAGCATTTTATGAAACATTGAATTAACTTTAAGAATCTTATATAAAATCATAAAATTCTTTAATGTTATTAATATTAACAACACTTCCGGTGCCGTAGATATTAATACTACCATTAGTACCGATACTAATGGCTGCATACGAGACAACGATGGACTCATTTTTGGACAGTTGTGTCGACTCTCTTCGTTCATCTCTCAGGTGTTGTTTAGTTCGTATCCAATGGACAGGTGTTTCCACACTGTTCTCGATTATCACAAATCCATGACCTATTTGACCAAATCATTCATAATTATTTGAATAACTTATGCCTGAAATACAAAATCTATACCCAAAACAAGAGTGACTTTCTTATCGTATTGATGTCCAGTTGTGTCATCATTTGGTACCACAGAAAGTGATCCCTTTTCTGACACAATCACAATATGGTGTCCGCTA